TGACAGTTCTATTTTTAGTTTTTTTAGAAACCTCTATACTGTTTTCCACAATGACTGCACCAATTTACATTCCCATCAACAGTGTAGAAGGGTTCCCTTTTCTCCACGTCCTCACCAAGATTTGTTATTTGTTCTTTTTGATGATACCCATTCTGACAGTGTGAGGTGATCTCTCACTGTGAGACTGATATGCACTTCCCTGATGGTTAGCAATGCTGAGCACCTTCTCATGTCTGGCTTCTTTATATTTAACAGTTCTTTATTTAGCTTATCTTTTTCCTCTTATATTTTACTTTAGGCAGCCAGAAGCTGCCAGCTGGCACTTTCAATCTTCTATCTGAAAATCTCCTTAAATAGATCATTGAGTCCGATTAAGTATATTTCCTATTTTTCTTGTTACTGAAGGTGACAACGTTGACCAAAATTCCTTCTTCGAGTGTCCCCTTTCCTCCGGTTCGTAACAGTGTTTTCCTAATTATCCTTTAAGCCCCGTGAAAGGTCCTTTAGGGCCTCCACTAACTCTCCTTGAGGCCCTTTATGATTTCACTAATCATCTTTTCCTTTCCGTCTTCTGCTCGTTGCTCAACTGGTTCTGTTGCAAAGCCAACGCCATATGGTCTATGTCTGTTTTGGCAGCACAACACTCCCAGGTAACAAAATCTATAACAGTTACGTATCTATTGCTGCATAATAGACTACTTCAAAACAGCAACTATCATTGATTTTGCTCACAAATCTGTAATTTGGGTATAGCTTAGTGGGTCAGCTTGCCTCTGCTCTCTGTGGCATCAGCTGGGAGGGCTTGACTGTGGGTTAGAGAATCCACTTTCAAGATGGCTCGCTCTCATGGCTGGCAAGTCGGTACTGGCTTTCAGCTGAGAGCTCAGCCAGGGCTGTGCGCCTTGGTTTCTCTCCATGCAGACTTCTCAATGAGCTGTTTTTTGTTTTGTGGGTTTACTTTCCATGGCAAGGTGGCTGGATTTAGAGCAAGCATCCCAAGAGAATGAGGTGGAAGTCTTACTGCCTTTTATGACCTGCCTGGAAAGTCACACACTTTCACTTTTATGGGTCACAAGTTTGCACAGATTCAATGGAGGGAACAGATCTTTGTATGTCTCTTGATGGGATGAATGTCAAAGTCATACTGTAGGAAGAGGGTATAGCTCAGTGGTAGAGTATGTGCTTGGCATGCATGAGGTCCTGGGTTCAGTTCCCAGTACCTCCATTGGAAAGAAAGACAGAAAGACAGACAGAAAGGAAAAAAGAAAGGAAGGAAGCAAGGAAGGAAGGAAGGAAGGAAGAAACCATCCTAATTACACCGGCCAAAAATTAAAAAAAAAAGTCACATTATAAGGAAAGCATTTTGGATGGGAGATATTTGGTCTTTTTTCTGAAAGTTCAATCCTCCACACACTTATACCAGCAATGTAAGAGAGTGCCTTACATTTAGTGTCTCCCCTAAAGCTTTGCCAAGAGAGTATGCTATCAAGCTTACAGAAAATATCAAACACGTGGGAAATACAGAGATAGTGATAAAAGGTCAAGCTTTCTCTAGTTCTAATTTAAATTTTCTCTTGTTACGAGTACAGATGAACACTTTTCCTGTTTAAGATGCATCTGAATTTTCTTTCCTGTGAACTGTGTTTTCATGTTGTTGGTACAGTTTTCTATTGCATTCCTAATCTCTTAGCTGATTTTGAGGAGTGTTTTATCTATCAGAGAGATTATCCCACTGCAATTTGAGTAGCAAAAATATTTCTCAATTTGACATGTCTTTTTACTTTGCTTGTAGTTTTGTTTTTCTTACACAGATTTTTGGGTATTTTAAAAGAGTTGAACCCATCAATCTTTTATGGCTTTTGGATTCTCAGTTGTAATT